CCTCATAAGCCAGTGGGCAGAGCAGACGACTGTCATATGATCAGACACCCTTATCTGTTTTAATGAGGGTTACATACAGGGCATGGTAGCCAATGCTAAGACAATTCTCAAAAGGAGTTTGTGGGCATGGCAGCAAAAGGGTCTGGCTATCTAGTTCCATGACTCATCACCCTAATTTTATCACACAGGAATGGAAGCTATGTACTAGCACATGTGTCCTCATCCTGGTCATCACTGTACTGAGGACCACATGGAGAAAAGACAGGCTCTTCCTAAGCCAAAGAGCTAAGGAGCTCATCAGGTTCACTTTACCTATTTGAGGTGTCATCTGTGAAAGAATGGTAGGGAAAAAATAAAATGCAGAGCCTATGCCACCCATAGTTGTAGTTCACGCTGTAAATATTCGAAAGGCAAAGTACATTCCTGAAGACCAAAACCATGGAGTTTTCTTTCACACAACTCATCATAATTGAGCACAGTCCCATGAGCATGAGAGCATGACCTCCAGATTGGTCTTGGCTCCTTTTCAGTCAGAGATGGATGGCAGAAACAGATGACAGGAGCTTTCTGATGGTGATAGGATGGAATAGTGGTGCTATTTTACATTGACAGTTCAATGTTTGCTCACCATGTGTGGGGCCCTGAGTTCAATCCCCAGCGCTATAAAAAATATAGTAACACAATAAAAATCACAAGGCTCTCCTAGTTTTCCGCTAGCTTATTATTTTTATCAGTCATTTAATTTAATCCATACATACTTATCGTGTCTTTGTGGAAGTCTAAGAAATCAAAGATCTCGTCTTGAAATAGCTTGCAAATCAATATATGTATGGGGTCATCACCTCAGTGATCATTTTAGGAAAAGTAATCTCTTGGTATTATACCAATTAATATATTGGTATGCAGACAAACTAGTCTATGGGGTGGGTTAGCAGGAAATTTGATTTAGGGTAACAATAAAAAATAAATAAAATACAAAACAACTAAAGTAAAAATGACATATGCTCCATGCTTTCACTTCTTTTCTTTTCTTCTCTTTTTTGAGACAGGATCTCACTATGTAGCCCAAGCTGGCCTTGAACTCAAAACAATCCTTCTGCTTCAGCTTCCCAAGTGCTAAGATTATAGGCATGTGCCATTACACCTGGCTTCATGCTTCTACATTTTAAAAAATAATTTATTTTGGATTATTACCACTGTGGAAACATTGCTGTTGGTTATAGGAGAACAACCTAGATGGTCAAACATTTTTATTCTAGTGCCTAATTGGAGGTGGGGATTTGGCACTGGATTATAGATGAGTAATTCACGTGACGTTTAGAAAAATAATTATAATTAAAAAGAGTCCAAGGGCCAGCAAGATAGCTCAGGGGATTAAGCACTTGCTTAAGCAAGAGCAGGGTCTGGGGTTCAATCCATGGTACCAATGCTGTGCCAGCCCTGCCCCCAGGTGTGCTGAGCCGGAGAAGGCCGTAGTTGTGTACACCTGCAATCCCAGCACTCGGGAGGCTGAGAACAGAGGAGGATCACTAAGAGTCCGAGCTGCATAATGAGACTCTGCATAAAATACATTTTAAAAAAAGTGTCCAGGCACTTTTGTACCTAGAGATTACAATCAGCACTAATTGTTTAATTACATAACATTTAAATGTCAGCTTTGATTTCTAAAATCAAACAACAATTCAAAAACTAGGTATAGAACTATAGAAACTAAACTACTGACAGCAGACTATAAGCATGAGTTCTGATGAAAACTTGAAAAGTTTGCATTTTCACTTCAACAATGTAGTTTTAAAGTACACTCTGGATCATCTGGCTAAGTATCTCATATCCAAATCAATATAAGAGCATTACAGTGGGCTGAAGAAAAAGGCACAGAAGGGACTTAAAAGGAAATTAACATTCATGCTAAATAAAAGCCAAACTAACTTGAGATTTAAGAAAAAAAAAGCTTTGCAGTGTTGAAATACAAAAAAGTTGTGTAGGAATTGAGTCTTCATAGGACAAACAATACACAGAAAACTACACATCTGTGTCAAGGCAGACAGCAATGCATTTACTATGCAAAGAAAGATTAAGGTGGTTTCAGCAAAATAACATCATCCCCCTAGTTTAATTTGCTTTGTTCTTTTCATAGTTTTGTTTGTATTTTGTACATTAATTTACTTTTACTCAATGCTTGTATATATATATATATATATATATATATATATATATATATATATTTTTTTTAACACATTAATAAAATAAGTTAGGCCACTACTGGGACTCATAATTTTTTTTCCTTTAGAAGGGAACTGTGTATTATTCATATTCAAGATTAAACTTGTGGAAAAAAAATAGAGAAGTTCAATTCAGAAAGACCCATTTCCAATCCTGGTTCTCCTAGCTACTCACCATGCTCATCCCAGCCACAGTGTCTCTGGGGCTCAGTTTACCTATGGCTCACTATGAAGACAGTTGTGACAGCCTGGAACTAAAAGTCTTCTGGTGCCTTAAATAAACAGGTTTCTTTAAAAAATTCTCTCTTGCTGCACAGCCTTCAATACTCTACCCACATACCGATGTTAAGACACGCTGTCTTGATATGTGGCAGAAATAACATGCCCTATGTCCCCCACATTGCACCTTCACAGTGACTACACACAGCAGCCAACGGCATCCAAATCGCCAAAGTCTGCAGCACACTATACTTACATCTGCTCCCTCTTCTAAAAATCATGCAACATAAAAACCGCCAGATTTATTTTCCTAGGTTCATTTCTCGAAAATTAATTCTCCAAGTCTTCTCCGGGAGGACCCCACTCAGCCTCTCCTTCCATCCTTACAAACCCTAGCAGACCTGAAACTGAAAGCTCCTGAGGCTATGACACTTGGTTTATCTTATCCCCCCCAGCCTCAGCAAGAGTGCAAGACCCAAAACCCATGAGTAGAACAGCCTCTCTCTATTCAAAGCTCTTGAGACAAAATGTGTTTCAGATTTTCTGGATTTTGGAATATTTGCATAGACTTTATTATTTGAGCTTCCCTAATCAAAAAATTCAGAGTACTTCAAAATCTGAAAATTTTTGAGAAGTATTTCTGCATAACAGATTTTCAGATTAGGAATACTCAACCTGTGTTTGAAAAAAGTACCACTCATCTCCAAAAGGGGGGACACTGAACTATACACAGTGGGCAAAACTTCTTTCTAATACACCTTTATTTATTAATAGACAACTACTCCTATCACAAGATTGTGAAAAGTCTTAAAGAAAACACAAAATGATAGTCTTCCATGATTAAAAATAAAGTTAATGAAAAGACATTTTAACTCCCCCTCTTAATTATTTTTAAAAGCCTATTCTTACTATTAAGTGCTTAGATTAACATGGAACAAGCAACTATAGCATAAAAGCTATAATTAAAAAAACAGAACCAAATTCCTACAGGGTAATACAATACCATCAGATAATTTGTTTTTGGGGTTTTTTTTGGCAGAACCGGGGATTGAACTTAGGCCCCTGAGCTTGCCAGGCAAGCACTTATTCCACTGAGCCATATCCACAGTCCCCAACCATCAGATAATTTATAAAATTAACAATATTTTAAGAATTTCTCAGGTATCCACTATAAATCTTTTTCTAGTGCCTCATTTCTGCCCCCACCATACTGAAGATTTCATAATGAGCTACTTTTCCAGCCCGTTTTCATTTTGACATGGCATCTTGCTCAGTAAGTTGCCCATCTGACCTCGAACTTGCAGTCCTCCCATCTCAGTTTGCCAGAGTGCGCCAGCATGCCCAGTTAGGTACCACATTCCTACAGTGAGTAAAAGCCAAGAGTTCAAAGCATACACAGTCACACAAAATCTCTAAATACACAATATAATGTATGATATTGTAATGCATGACATACTATGACATCACTTTATGTAGGCAACTTCAATACTGAAATTTACTGCTAAGCATAAATGTTAATAAGCATTTCTTAAATATGAGTCTCTGTTTACTCTGGTACACTCAGTGTCACTGACCTAGCCTTCTACTACTGAGGCTAGGGAGAAAAGAGGGCCACAAATTAAGGTATAAAATTTTGACTCACTTGTAACCTTTCGAATTACTGTGTAAGCAAGGAGATAGACTGTTTAGGGATCCTGCAGCACAACCTAAAACGTGCTGGGACCTTGAGTAACCCAACCCAAGGTAAACCAGGGCCATCATTAAGTCAGCCAATCCGATTCTCTCGCTCTTTGAACAAAGGGGAAAGAACTACAGCACTTAGAATCCAAGAGTGGTCTCAATTTCTTTACCAACTGAATAGACTAACAACCAATGCTCACAATAAGGTACCCCAATGCCACTCACCCATCATGAAGGTAAAACTCATGACCAAAATAGCTCCCAGACACTTGGACTACAAAATCTACTGTAAAACCTTCCATAGCTTTAATCTCAATTTATGGAATTGGGTAAGGGCAAGAGGGAACTTCCCTGAAAAACATGGGCATAAAATATGACTGAGAGTATCTCAGTTATTACTCTTCAAAGGGTAGGGCCACAGAGTGTTACTCTATGGATGACAGGGCCATTAAAGTAAACAAAATGTTTTTTTGATGGCTACAAAACTGCCCATGTACTAAAAAAAAAAAATGTGAGCATCCATAGCCCAAGTTATAGAATATGATTGAAGCCAGACTTCAAATGTGGAAGAAAATACTCATGCCCATCTCCCTAAAGAAAGATCACAACCCTGTAAACTGCTGAGAGGGGACCCACCCAAGCCCGGGCAGAGTGTGTATTTCAGATATTCCTTCAGGAAATCATGCTGAGTGTTGGCGGCTCCTCTAGGCCTCTGCAGCAGCCTCGGGTCCAAGAGCAAACTCGGAGTCATGTCGATGTCAAGACGAGGCTGTCGGTCCTGCGCGCTCCCGATGAGCAGATCCGGGACCCGCGGCGCCATCGCGCCGACCGCCCGCACCCCGACCCGCACCCCGCGGCCACCGAGACCCGCGCTCCTACCTCGGCGGTGCCTCGTCCTCCGGGCTCCAGCGCCCCACAGTCCGGCGACCCGGCGCTGCCCCTGCTCCGCCCGGCCCCGCCCCTCCGCAGCGAAGCCGCCGGCTCCCGGGCCGGGACCGAGGAGGGCGCCGCACGGGCCGCCGCCGGCTGCCGCCTCTGGTATGTCAGGGGCCGGGATTGTATTTCGAAAGATCCGCCATTTTCACCTCGTCATCACCATCGCGGCGCGGCTGCTTCGCGACAGCCGGGCCCGCCCGCCCCCGGCCGCGCGCTCCCGGCGGGCACGCGCAGGGCGCGGACTACGCGGCGCGCCAGGTCCTCGGAGAAGCCGGGTGACACCCACCTGCGGGACAGCACGCCGACTTCTCCACCACCTCGGAGCTGGTCCCCGCAGGACCCAGCAGCCACGGCAGCCGCGATCTTTCGTTTTTAAAAAGTAGCGCCCCGAACCGCCTTCCTCCCCGCTATGTCATCATCACTGCTCTCCCTGAACACGACGACTTCCCATTTAGGACGTCTAGGTTTAAGGTGCATGGATGCAACAGTAGACACTCGTGAACGCTCAACTTCTGAAAGGCAGACTGATCTGAGGCACCGAATGGCAACAGCCCCGGCGGCGGGCGTGTGTGCCACACAGCGAAAACAAGCGCCAGCTTCCCGACGAGACCCCGGCCCAGCCCCGTGCGTGCGGGCGGGATGGGACAGTCCTGGAGCGAGCGGCGGGGCGCCTGTGACACCGCACGGAAAGCGCCCGAAGCCTCTGGTCGTCCAAGGTTTCAGGGTCTCCCGCTAGGAAGCTGACCTCTGTACCAGCCAACCTCAGCACTAGTAACCTACGGGAATGGGGGTACGGGAATGGGGGCATTAAACTCAGGGCCGCGCTGGCTGAGAACTGTCGGGAAGGACGCGGTGGCAGTAAAGCTGCTGCCGCCGTGGACTGGGGGTCGGATGGACCCGCCGTCCTCACGTCCCGCCTGTCGCGGCGTCCCCTCCGAGAACTTCCTCCCGCACTTGGCTGTGCACCTCCCCGCACCCGCCCCGGGCACCTCGGGACACCGTGACAGGCAGCTCTGAGAGGACAGGGACGCGCGGCGCGGAGCCATACAAAGGGCCGGGCGAGCACCACGCGGGGACGCGACCCAGCAAAGAGTCGACTCCCAACCCGGCCGATGTGGAGCTCCGCGGACCCACACCCCGGACGCCGGCTGCGGTGACAGCCGCTGGGGCCCCGCCCCGCGCCGAGGTCCCCGCGCCCGCCGCCAACCGGCCCGCGCCAGAGGAGCCGTCCGGCGCCCCCGGCCGGCTTCCACGGGCCCCTCTCAGGACTGACGCTCACCCACGCTGGTGGCGCCGCCGCCTCCTCTTCGCGCCGCGCTGCCCGGGCTTCCCAGCAGCCGCGTCGGCGGCGGCGCCTCCGAGACACAGACCCGGGTTTGTTCAAAATCACGCGCCCCGCGCCATTCCGCCGTTGCATCCCATAATACGCCGGGCCTGCCCCGCCCACAGGCCCGCCCCCCGCCCGCAGCGGCCTCCGCCCCGCCCCTTCCGAGCCTCACCCCGCCCCCTGGCAACGTGCGTCGCGTCATTCCGCTGGGCTCGGCGAGCGCGCTCGGGCTCACGTGACTCCCAGGGCTCCCAGTCAGAGCTGGCCCGGAAGGGTACATTTGTAGAGGTGTGGGGGGACGTCCGGCCCACGCCTGCGCTCGGCGCGCCACTCTCTTCTTGTGGGCAGTGGTACTGGAGGTGCGGTTTCTAGCGTCTACCCTGCTCTTGGTTGTGCCCGGGTGAGGAAGGGATCAATATTTACAAACGCTAAATTTCTTCAACTTTTAGACTCCTTTTGTAAAGGTCGTTTGAAAGCTCCTGGGAGGTCATAGCCAAAAAATTATTTTGAAAAGGGCTTTCTTCATTTTTTTTCTTGCAATACAAGGTACATCTAAGATTATCAAAATTTAGTTACCCTTTCTTGTATTTTCCTATTTATAGTATATCTAAATATGGAGTCGCACTAAGATCATTGGTATTGCTCTGTGAGACGAACTACACCGATGAGCAAATAGAAAAAAAAAACCAAAAAACCGAAGAGTACAGGGAAAGCCGCGAGGCCCACCTCTAAATGGGTTGCGTGGGTGTGCTTTACAGCGCGGGGGTAGCTAGGAGCGCGGCTCCGGTCGCCTTGGAAACAGCTCTCGCTGTAGGATCCGCTAGTTATGGTTTTAAATTCTGGCGCCTCCACCTACGATTGTAATAATCTGAAGTTTCTTTCCCCATTTACAGAGTAAAGAAACAACCTCCTAGGATCCTAAGGGTAAATTTAAATCAAAGGCATTGATCTCCGCCTCACATGGTAAATTTGGCTGGGTCCTCTGGGACCTCCTAATCTGAACTCGGTAGTTCCGTTACGTTAGCAGAGGCTCGGCAGCGGGACAGTCTGGAACTCGCAAGCAGTGAACGCTGAATGATGCGTGCATATTGTGCTGGGGGTTTGTAGTGTGAGCCAAGTTTGGTAGATTCATTGGGGTCTTGGGTAAGAAATCCTCAGGGTTAGGGGCCGGGGAGATGGCTCAGTAGAATAAGGGCTTGCCTTGCAAGAGCAGGGTCCTGAGTTCAATCCTCAGTCCGGCAAAAAAACAACAACAACAAAAAAACCCTCAGGGTTAGACAATGGATGATTCTGAGGGTGCCTTTGGGAGGAAGAGAGTGAGGCAGGATACCGAAATCTGTTTGGATTTCTAGGGAGACAATCCCCCCACAAAGGGAGAGAATTTTTCCGTCCTTTTTCCTAAAGACTAGCATAATTCTGAGGCCAAAAACCCAAGACTATACCCACAAAAAAACCTCTTCCATTGTCACTATGATTTTGTGAAAAAAAGTAACACGAAAGTGTTGTACTAAAAATGTTATCAGTGTGGTAATAATGCAAAGTATGGTTTAGTCCAAGAATGGTAGTTTATTATTTAAAAATCTTATAATTTATTAAAGAAGAAAAATCAAATGATATTTTCTAGATATGGATTATAGATTTCAAACTTTTAAATTTTAGTAAATTAAGAATGAAAGCATTTTCTTGATTGAGGCATTCTCATTTTGACCAGAGATTCTTTGTCAGGAACCTTATAAGAATACAGAGATAAATCAACTGTTGTTCAACAGTTTTTTCAGGGTGTCCAAGCCAAATTTAATTAAATAAAAAAAAGAATAAGAAGACCACATGTGGTGGCAAACACCTGTAATCCCAGCACTCTGGAAAGTTGAGGCAGATTGCAAATTTGAGGCCAGCCCCGGAAATTTACAAAAAAACTTTTTTTTTTTTCCTCTTAGGGTTACGCTATAATTCCAGGCAAAAGCTCTGGGTTGAATCCCCAGTACTGGGGTGGGAAAAACGTATAAAATAAAACTAATTCTAGTTAAAACCAATCATAAGAATTTAGTTTAGTTTGAGCTTTGAAGTAAAAAAGCCAAGTCCAAATCATGCCTCTGCAAATTAATAGCTTTACGAACTTAGGTGGTTGCTTTCCTTTGATGCCCTCATCTGTAAATTGGGAAAGGTACATGTGGCATAAGACTGTTGTGACAGTTAACAAGGTAATATGTATAAAATGAAACAGTGGCTGGTGTGTGACATAGTAAGTTCTCAGTGGTTAACTATTAAAAATCGAAGCTACATTTAAAATCTTTTTCCTTCAAAAAATTTTAGGTAGTCTGATATTCAAACATCTGTACTGTGTGTCATAAAAGAATCCTTGCTTTACATTTGCATGGTAGTTTCCCCAAATGAACTAAAAACTAAAAATGTTCAGCAAGCATTTGTTGATCATCTGCTAAATTTCAAGTGCTGTGTATGGGCACTGGGAACAAAGTGGTGAATGGGACAAACCACTTGTATCTGCTGGGACCTCCCACAGTGGCAGGCCTGTTCTGTGCTACCAGGTCTGGTGGCTACAGCCCTATGTGGCTCTCAAGTAACTCTCATGTGGAACTGACCTGTTTATTTTAAAGACAGAACTATGGAGAAGGTAAGAATTAGAATTATTACCCAGCAAACCAAAATATATTACTGGGCATTATATTGTGTGCCCTGTATATTGATAGATACAAAGTATACACTAATTAAGAAAATTACCTTTAATAGGTTAATTTCCAAAAAATTATTCCAAAGTTATTTTGTTTATAAATTTACTGGAGGTTCACAATTTCTCCATACAAGCAACCATCAGATATGCATGAATAGTTTTCACTTTTACTACTTTTTTGTTATCATATAAATTTTTTACAACAGGCTCACAACCCCTTATCAACAATATCAAAATCCAAAAATTTTGAAAACCTAACCCAATATGACATAAGGCATTAACATTCTTTATGTATTCCATTTGGTGTCAATATCCACATTCAGAGATACAGAAGTATTTATGGAGTTTGATTATAACCATAGGAGTTTCAAGGAACTTTCTTTTTTTTTTTAATTTTTTTAAATTTATTTATTTATTAGAGAGAGAGAGAGAGAGAGAGAGAGAGAGAGAGAG